ATATTGATCTTGGGTTATTGCAGTGAGCATTTTGGTTTTGGGACTGGTAAATTTGATAGGTGGACTTTTAATCTTCTGTCACAATGTGAGTTATATCCATGACCTCGTTGGTTTACTATTTTTTCCATCCAGTGGCTAAATATCATTTCTGGATTTTGATTATTTTGCTAAACGTAGAACTTGAACCCTTCAAGCTATATGATCATTTGTTGTCATATGTCATAGTTTTGATCAATGTTTTAAGCCCTCATATATGTCTAAATATGGAACTTACAGTGGGGTTTAATTTATATACAGCTTAGAGAATTGAAAAATGAGCGATATCAATGGTATGAAGACGAAGGTCAATATCAAAAACTACTTGGACGAAGAGGAAACTTCCCACTTCAGGCAAGCTTAGCAGTCATATCATTCCTCTTTTTTGGGTTGCTGCCACCTGTAATCTATGGCTTCTCATTTCGTGAAAGTGACAATAAGGACCTGAAATTAGCAGTTGTTCTGGGTGTATCTCTTATATGCATTATTCTACTTGTTATTGCCAAGTGTCATGTTACTAAGTCACCCCCAAAATCTTATATCAAAACAATACTATACTACTTAAGCACAGGGGTTGTGGTATCTTGTGTGTCGTATCTGGCTGGAGAGCTAATTAAAGATTTCTTGGAAAAGTTGGGCTGGTTCGACTCAACTTCAACCATTTCCATATCATCTATAGAGACGTCTAAACCAATGGAATCTACCTGGGCAGCCTATTGAAACATCTTTTTATAGGATGTCTTTCTTTTCTTCAGATTGTTTTAGCATAATTTTCGTTGTTACATTTGAATGTTGATGGAATAAACTGGTTGTTGTCCTTGGCTGCAATTGTCTATGAGATAGAAGACAAGATTTCTTATTGGGATGTTGCAATTAAAGAAAAGTGTTCTATACCTGGTTCAATAAAAGACAAGATTTTTTGATTACCCAGACAGACTCATCCCCAGACTCATCCTGATATTTATTTTGCCAGGATCATGCTTAAATCCCGTTGAAGTCAACTTATTGTATTGAAATCGTATTTTACCGCTCAAATTCAACGGTACACATGCATAGTCTTCATAAAATTATGTTAGGATGTCCAGACTGAAAATTTATGTGTATATAATATTAGAAAACCGATTGCTAGAACGCTCACTTTGTCACTCTCTCATTCAGCATTTGACACTTGTACAAATGACAAATAAAGATAGAGCAATAAATATTCACTTTTTTATTTCCTTTATTTTTTGTACACATGTTAAATGGTGAGTGATAGAGCGATCCTAGTATTCCTCTATAATCAACTCTTTTAAACCTGAAAACAAAAATAAATAAATAAAATAAAACTTCATTAATTTCTCCAACAACTTCATTTATAACAAAGAAGAAGATCTTGCTCTTATTAACTTAATTTATGTCTTACAAAATTGCAGTTCTAGTACTTGAAATTACTCTCATAAATTTCCATCTCAATTTGTAACAATTTTTTTTTTTTTTTTTGTTGATATATAATATAATTTATTCAATGAATCAAATATGCACTTTTTAATGCATTTTGTGTTACAAATTTTGTAAATTATTATGTAAAAATAAAAAATATTGTGTAATCAATACAATAAATAAATATATCCACGTCATGTATTAACATTTATTTCCTTTATTGTCTATCTTAACAATCAATATAATTTTAGTTTTTCAAAATAATATCTACATGCGTAATATAAAGTCATTTTATGTCTTTAATATTTTTAATAAAATATGTTAACAAATTTGCTTTTTAAGGAGGTAAGTGACAAGTTTTGAAACGTGAAGGGAGGTGAAAGATAATTTCTCACACCTCTGGAGGTGTGAGAAACTGAATCTCAAACCTCAAGGGACAGGAAGGATATGAACCCATATTTTTATAAGCCAATAAGATACTAACCAAGACCTTAGTTGAAAATGATATTTATTTGATGTCAAAACAACGTAAAACACCAATTTAGGGTTTTGTTTAAAAATTTATAAAAAAAAAAAAAATAGATCAGTAAAAATCAAATTTATTCTCACTTGATTATTAACTAACTTGTTCAAAGAATTACCAACACACGTTGAGTCAAAGGGTCAAAAGTAATTTTACGGATATAACAATTTTGTGACATAAAATAGAGTAAACCAACCGTTATTGACAAAACTATTTTATTCTTATCAAGTATCAACGCCTTGAAAAAACAAAACAAAACAAAACAAATCCACCCATGTATTAATGCATGGCAACAAACCCATATTTTTAAAAAGCTTCTGGTTGCAAAAACCCACAAAAGTTGATAGAAAAATGCATACAAGAAATAGCACTGAGCACACTAGATGTACTAGATGAGTGTTTGACACAATCGATGTCGTACTAGACAACCATATAATTGAATATGTCGATAATTTCTACTTAATGATGAATATAATGTCCAAATGGGATAATTCGGTCCATTTAAGTGAAAGTACAACTCAAATATGATTATTTCAAGAGTCACCCATAATTTATAGTGATAATATAGATCATATTCAAGTTCTAGATAAGTGCATAGACAATTCTAAATATGAGATTGAAATTATTTTGAGACTATATAATAAAAGAGGGTAAATTAATTAAGCCCTATTTTATAAGCTTATTAATTTGATTAACATCAATTAAGTAGAGTAATATACCATCTAATTTCCATTTTTATTTGGAATTTTTCTCTCCTTTGTAATTGTAAATGAAATCTAAATTTTTAAAGTACTAACAAATATATTTCTTATTAAAATTATCACTTGTTTTTATAATTTATATCAAATGGGCCTTGGTCTTGGGCTAAGTTAACCACTTTATTTATGCAAATCGGCTGTAATTGGCCCAACAATATTGAGCCAAAAGCCCATGAAATTAGGCCTTTTCTAAACCCAAATTAACAGCATGGAGTTAAAAATTCTATCCGTCAATTGATCAATTCATTAAAACCTGAAAACAAAAATCGATAAATGAAATAAAAACTTCATTTATAACATACCAGCACTTGAAATTACTCTCATAAATTCCATCTCTACTTTTTGTCACATTTTTTGTGATATATAATATAGTTTGTTCAATGAATCATAGTATAAATTGGTCTACCTAACAATAGTGTTAGACTTAGTTATATAATTTGTTACAAGTTTCATGTTTAGTGTTATATATTTTATGACAATGTTGTCCGTTATTATTCAATGCACTATTTAATATGTTTTTGTGTTTCAAGTTTTATACATTATATGGAAAAATAAAAAATATTGTGTAACCGATACAACAAATCAATACATTCACGTCATGTATGAAATTTTTTTCTTTAACATCTATATTACAAAAAAAATATGAGTGTTAGTTTGAGAACGTCATTCTTTCATTCACCTTATAATCTTAACAATCAAAGCAAACTTTTTTGCTTTAACATTCTAAATTATTTGATTTAGAATGATCAATCGGATCTCTTAAAATAGGATTCAGAGTTACGATTAATTCTCAGTTTACATTATTGAACCACTCGAGAAACAACAAGAGTTCATATATTACATAATTTAATTCCCGTGCTCAAGCCACAACCAATATGAATTCAAATTTTTCTTCTTAAATCTTCCTAGAAAAGCTTTTATTCAGGACAAAAAAATATTGAATTTTTGCAATTATGGAGTCTAATTTTTGACAATGAAGGGAGTTGAAAAACAAGCAATTGTTAAATTAATATATGATATTGGCCTCTAACCTCATTTAATTTTTAGTGAAATTATGAGTAAAATACAAAGGAGTGAGTAGTTCCCATTGCTTTGGACAAACCCACCTAATCACGTGAAATTATTTATGGGGCCTATTGATTTGGTCTTACCTTATAATAAATCTATTTCAACTCATGACACCACCACCAATAATTCATAATATATATACTTTGATGACAGTTTTGCCCTTTATTTATTTTTAATTTATTAATGAATAAAAATGGTTCAATTTGAAAGTGAAACAAAGAGCATAGTTTCAATGTATGTATATAATAATACACGTTGATAGAAAGTTGTAGTCATTCAGATAATATAATACTAGATAATGTTTTCAAGGATTAGATTAAAAATAAATTATTTTTAAAAAGGATTTTAAAGCCCAGCTCCGGCCTTGGGGCCTTAATTGTGAACAAACTACAATATACCATATCTTATTTAAATTCTATTAAAAGCTCTTTCTATTGTGTATGAGACTATATAGTAAAAGAGGGTAACATAATTAAGCCCTATTTTATAAGCTTCTTTATTTTCTTTGCTACTTTCACAATGTGATTCTAAATTTGTTACATGAGATCCGTTGAGTTAGTTTATAAGTTAATTGGCTGGTTGATTGTAAAATGGCATTTACTATTTTACTTAGAATGATTATTAATTAATTTTGGGTTGCCTTTGTTTATTAAATAAATTACCATAATTTAATGCAATTAGTAACCAAGAGACCATCTAACTTCTATTTTTATTTGGATTTTCTTCTTTATTTGTAAATGAAAGAGAAATTTCCAAGTATTAACCCATTATAGTTATTTATATTTTTAGATAATTTAGATCAAATGGGCCTTGGTGTTGAGCTAAATTAACCATTTTATTTATGTAAGTGGGCTGTGGTGGGCTGTGGTCTGCCCAACACCTTTGGGCCATAAGCCGATGAAGTTAGGGCATTTTCAAAGTCAAATTAATATTATAATGTGGAGACCTAAGGCAGTATTATATTAAATAGTAGAATGATCAATACATAAACTGTTTACAAGGAAATAAAATAATAATAATAAGATGACTCAACCTTGAAATAATCAACTCACATTAAACGGTAGAAAAGTAAATGACTCTACCACACTATAGGACATGAAATTAACATCTCATACAAGTTTATTCACTAAAGAAAGATCTGCTGCGGCAGCTATTGCCAGAGTGACATCCTGAATTATTTATTTGGGGTTATGTCAAATGCTTGGTCTATAAGTGGACAAGAAAATTTCAACCAAGAGAGGAAATTGCAACATGACAAATAAGGTCACTGGGAGGCATCCAAGTAGCGAAATTGGAATGACAGTCCAATTCCATGAATGAGAAAGAAACGTGTAAAGGGTTGCACCAAATGCTACCATCATGCTTGCAATAGAAAAAAATAGAGTGATAAGGCCAATGACTAACTTATTTGGCAATGACACCAAAAAGTCGTCCTCTGAATAACGTGAAGTGAGGATTGCCAAGAACATCAACACTGAAGCCGTAGAAGAAAAGAGTGCAAGCGGATCTGATATGACAAAGACTATGAAAGCTATATCATGCAAGAAATTGGGTATCTCGTTATTGTTGTTGCCACCTAGTACGGTGAAAGCTGCTGTAAAAACTACAGTTATTATCAATGCGGCTACAACACTACATGATGCAGCAGTTCCCTTCATCCATTGTTCACCTTGTTTAACCAATTCCTTGTGTTCTTCTGTAAAGACTTCTCTAGGAGTTTTATTATTCTCATTTCGTTGCTCTTGAAGGGATGGATGGACATAACTTTCCACAGCCTAAAGATAAAACCTTAGCTAGCGTAAGCATGAACAGTAATAAATTTGATTCACAAACAAAAAATCTCTAATATTATAGAAGAACTAAATGTTATAAAAAAATTAGTAATGAGGCAAGAAAAAAATAAAGGAAACTTTAGAATTAGAATAAAAAATCATATATAGGCCAGATTTCCAAATCTCTTCCACATTCAATTATAAATTTATAATCCTATATGAGAAATGAAAGTACCGTAGTTTGATGTAAGATCAAGGCATGTAGAGGCAAGAATAAGATTCCAATAAAATAATCATTTGAAGTAATTGTTAAGATGATAAAATAAGTTGTATAATTTTCTTTTTTTCTTTTTTGCAGGTTGTATATTCACCTTGAACCATTGTAGCTCTCTCTGCATTTGCAATGCTGCACTAGAGATTTGACTTGAAGCTGCCAACTGTCCAGCCAAATGCAAAAGGTTGTCAGTTTTTCCACCGGTGTTGGCCGCTTTCCAGGTTGGTTGACGCACATTCCTTTCTTTTAAAATTTTAAAAATCTTTTCTTGGCGATGTAAAATTGCCATATGAAGTAGACCGGGACCATTATGTCCGTAGCGGTAGGCAAAAGCATAGAAATAAGCATTCAAAATTTCATTGACAATCTCGCAAATCCCAAGTTCTGCAGCTTCAAGAATTGGGAAATCGAAAGTTTGAAGGGCCTCTTTACGATTCCACGTAACTTTATTACCATGACACAATATTCTAACAATTTGAAGGGTTTGTATATGTGTCAACTTTATATCGCGAATGTTTTTGATGTCTAGGACTGCAATTGAACAACGCAAGTCAATGAAACAAGATAAAGAATTCCTTCAAGATACTCCATTTAATTAAGAGAATTGTTCAATGCCAATTACCTAGCAGCATGAGGACACGCCAGATCATTTGGTTCAAAGCACCTGTGTTTTAACAAATAAGTACTTTATAAATTGTTTTGGTTTGTAGGATAATCAATTTCAGAAAGACTAGATAAATAGATAGATAGGAGGTGTACAAACCAAATAAAGCATAGATTATTCGACGAATAGGTCCAAAATGTTTGGATTCTTTAAACTCGTCTAGACATTTAACTGCGTTTTCTATGTCCCCATTGTTACTTTCATTGGGAGGAACATATTCGTCTTGCAGAGGAATCCCTGCGGAGAAAGGCAACAACAATAAGCGCATGTGAATATAAGAGATGGGTTTGTTGGAGTGTATCTGAGTCTACAAGGCATGAGAATTAAATACAGAGGAAGAATGTTGTTACTAACAATCATAGATCAAGCGTCTCCACAACCCAAGGCGACTCCAACTCGCACTTTCAAAAGCCAGAGGCTTACCAGCTAATATTTGTAATATACTTTTTCGGTCTGAATTGTTTTCAAGAGCTAACTTTGGATATCGCTTCCATAAATCTAACGCTATACCTGTAAATGGAGTAGAGATGAAAACGAATTAATATTCAAAATAACTATCCAACCATTTTTAATTGATAAAATTCTAAAATTAAAAACTATTTAAATCAATTGATTTTACTCTAATTTGGTAATTATGTTGTATCCTAGCTTGTCCAATAGCTCTCCTTATTTTTCCTTATTTTATTTTTCTTTTTTTGGTAAGACATTATATAAATAATATAATCTCTTCTATACAGATTTTGAGATTTTATATTTAATTATTCCACTAATTATGTGATGTAATACATAGATCAAACATTAGTTTTTGGCAAAAATTATTACACTTTTTTTAATCAATAATACTATATTTACAAAGAAATCTTACAAAGATTAGGTAGCAAAAAATCAATGAAAGAGTGAAACAAAAAGTCAAACTCATTAAATTCACTCTTCCATTCATTTTTTACCATATCACTTTGTATGAAGATCTTTGTAAAATTTATTTGTAAATGTAGTATTACTCTTTTTTAATATAGAATTTAACATGTTTGTTATACAATAAGCCTAAATCAATGACATCTTTCTTTTTCATATATATATATGTCAAAGTCTTTAAAAAAAAAATAAAAAAAAAATCTCATTCTTTTAACCTAAGAACATAGAAAAAATTAGACAAATATAAAAGATTACACTTATATTTGTCTTTTTATCTCTTGTTTTGGTTTTTGTTTTTGTTTTTGTTTTTTTTTTTTTTTTTTTTTTTTTTTTTTTTTTTGTTTTTTGCTATTTCGTTATGTGTTGGGCTTTTGACACATTTATATTGTCATTGGTTATTATATTTTTTAATGTCTTTACTTTTACATTATATAATAAAATATATTTACATTTACACTTTTAAAGTTAAATTAATGGTTTTATACCATCAAGTGTCATATTTTTGTTTTAATAAACTTGTGTCTCTTTTTAGTTGTTTTTATAACACGTGTCTTCATTTTAATTTTCTCCTTTTCTGACATCTCCACATTGTAACTCATCTATGCTGTATGGTCCGGATAAATTCTTGATTCCATGTTGCTAATATTAATCACAAATTAAATTGACTAAATAAAAATCTATATCAAGTAATAATCATAATTTTTTTGTGAGGTAAGACTAATTATATATGTCCCTTATCATTTCTTTATTTTTTAAAATAAAAATAAAAATAAAAAGTTCTAAGTGATAGTTTAACGTTATCTAACCATATCAAAAACTAGAAATTACTTTACACTTACCATAGTTACCGGAACGGATCAGATATTCAATAAGTTCAACACTCTTATTGTCATCCAAACGTGCTGTTGTTTTTGACAGAGAGATATTGAATTATTCCCTTGTGCCCACATTCTGCTGCTATATGAATTGGAAGATAACCTTGGGTTCCTTATGTTTGGAAATTCTGGGTGCCTAAGGGCATAAGCTTTTACAGCCTTTATTGCCATAAGCAGCAGCTTGGTATAACGGATTCGCCATCCCCTTTCAAGTTTTGAAGTTCTTTTCACTGATCTCGAATGCAAGTCTTTATAAGCCAAGTGGGGGCACCTGATATATTAATATGTGAAAAATGGTATCCCAAATTCTGAAACAGTTTCAGTCAAGGCCCCAGGAGTGTCTCTCTACCAATCTTGTAAAAGTATCCAATTACGCTTTTGTACAGCCTTGTAATGGCTTGAACGAACATTAACATCTATTCGCCCGGTCGTTTTGTTCTCTGGCAATTCCAAATAATGTAGATTGAAAATATTATGTAAAGGACTTTAAAATTTATTAGAAATCATGAAATTCAATTTATCCGAGTCACATACCTTTCCCTTCCAAAACTGACTGTTCACTTTCAGTTTTCTCAATAGATCATCTTGCTTCGTTCCTCTAGTGGTTGCCTCTCCTTTTACTAATTGAGTATGGATGGTTGAACACTATCAGCTCTGACACTTCCGTTTACCATTAGTTCCAAATTGTACACATGAGAAAAAAATATGATGTATAAGTACTATCTATATCGTTTTTTACTTACCTTCCCTTTCAATACTATTAGCACTCTTGTGACTTTTTCCGTTCACTATTAATTTCAAATATATTATGTACACATGATAATAAGTATGAGGTAGAAGTTATGTATCTAGTATCTATGGATTTATATATTAGTTATTGAAGGATCTAATGAATACTATGCAACATATCACTTAATAAGATATGTGCCTTTTACGTACCTTGTGTGTTCCAAATTCATGAGCATTCTTTTTGCATTCCAATTTCGCGGTTTCTTTATTGGAATCAACTTCCCATCGTCTCAGTGATTTTGACTCTGGAGTTGGAAGATTGAACAGGATCCATCTATACTTCTTTTGCCTTTATCAAAAGGATAAATATGGTGACAATCAATATAAGATTCCAGACTCACGAGAAAATGAGAGTGATAAGTTGAGGGTTTTCTGGGGCCTAGTCAAGATAGAGGTGGATATATAAGCGAAAGTGTTTAATAAAAAGAAAAGAAAAAGTGTTTAATAGTGGATAAATTTTACAAAATTAATTAAGTGTGAGTCACGGCGTCCTCACTGAAGTGGACCCTAATTTGCAAGATTGGTCTAAGTTAATCGTAAGAATTTAACAACTTTATGTATGAAGGGTTTAATTTTGCTGAAATTACCGATGAGCTGCACAGAAATTTTCAAAAGAGAAAATGTTAGTGATGGAAAAGCTTATCATGTACAGTGATTAATTAATTAAAGGCTATGTTGAGGGCAGAATTACTTTTGGAATGGATCATGAGTTAGGTAAGACTATTAGTGTGACATAACTTTAATTAATAAATTATCTGACCAAAAAAAATTTAATTAATTAAAGCAAATATACTATGTTGAGGGGCTAAATCCTTTACTTTTGGAATGGATCTATGAGTTAGGTAAAGACTATTAGTGGTGACATAACTTTAATTAATAAATTATCTGACCATAAAAAAATTTAATTAATTAAAGCAATATAATATCAAGAATGTGTGCTGGTGGAATTTTAATTTAATTAAAATTACATATTTGGTCCTACGCTTTTTATTAAAATGTAATTTTAATAACTAGGTAACTGTTGAGTAGTTATATTATCCTATGGGCAGTTGTCTTTGATGGAAAGAGAATTGCATATATAATGGGAGTGGTTACAGGTCCCATTAACATAATTTTTAACTCAAAAACCATCACACTGAAATTGGAGTTAATGGAAGACTCTGTAAAACTTTAAGGAGACAGAAGCGTGAATTCAAAATTGATACAAAAGAAGTTCTACAACAATTGCTATTGCAGGAGATTAGTATTACACTGATTTACTTCCGTTGCATTTAATAAATGTGTATAAACATGTATATGAATAGTTAATGATGACTTTATACATGTTATTAATGTGAATGTGATTTTACATTATTGATTTAACATGTGGTATTAGAGCCCGTTTATGATCTCTGTCTGGCATGATTGTTGTAGTGTATAATATATATGTATATAGTACTGTAAAAATGTGATTACAATGCTTGTTGATTTGTGATGTATACTGGAATTTTTGAAATGCAAATTTGGAGTATATTGCATGAAAATTGTGACATTTTTATATTAAAATCTGTAACTGTAAATAGGGCATAACTTTCAATATAAAGCATATCTATTTTCGTTTTTGGTATCATTGGAATTCTTGTTGAAAAATCTTTCTAACGATATATTGTTTGCCAAAAACGAAGTTTGGATTGCAAAGCTATGGTGGTTTAAAATTTTGGGAGAAATCGTTGTTTGGGCAATTTCAATCGCCGTTTATGGTGCTGATTTGGGACGGTAATAGCATGTCGACTACCATCGGCATAGGCCATAAGTCCACACTCACTTTCCTCTCTTAAACGTGGAAAATTTGGCAGTGAAATATTACAAAAATTGGGTTTGGAATTTGTAGAAACTGTGTCAAGATGACTAGGTCAAACTAGGTCCACGAGTCAAATCGACCCAGGTCAAACTTGAAAAGATTAGGATTTGAAGGAGGATTCGAGAGAGATAGTTCTGCGAGTGTTTCAGCTGAAATTTCTGGAAAATTGTATTGAATGAAGACTGAAGTTTAGTGAGTACAGTGATTGACACTTAACTACACTTTACAAACACACAAAACAACGACATATAGTCCTTACTAGACTTCTTTACTGAAAAACGACACCGTTGGGGAGCAGCCTTATAATTTTATGGCTAACATCCCCCCTCAAGCTAGATTGGGTTTCCAGTCTTAGCTTGTTACAATTATAAAAAATTACACACACACACACACACAAAAAAAAAAAATCCAGCAGATTCTTACAATACCACAAATAAGATGAGAAGTGGCATTAACAGTCTTTAACACTCTTGAGACATGTCTTCATCATTCTAACTTTCAACTTTTGATTAGTAGCTGAAAAATCTAATCAATTCAACAGAGGAAAAACTGCACTGTTGCTTCTCTCAACATTAACAATGGCATAGAATAGAGAAACTTATTAGAGAACTGATTTTTAGTGCCCATCTCACTGATCTTGACCCCCCATAGCTATGTAAACATTTTCTATAATTATTGAAAAAGAAAAAAAAACCCTTTTAATACCGAAAATAACCCTCTAAGCTTAATTGAGTTTATTTTCCTCAATTTCAAACTTAATTAGGTTTTTTTTGTTTTACACTCTTTTTCCCAAATCAAACTTAATTAGGTTTTTTCTTTACACTTTTCTTTTCCTAATTTTCTAATTTCAACTTATTTTCTCTTCTTCAGATCTAGATTCATTCCGTTGTGTTTTACATAGTTTTAGTTTTATATTTTCATCAAACAAACAAATACTTAAAATAAAACAAAAGGTTTCAATGATTATGAAAATGTAGGATTAGGTTATGAAAAATTAGGTTTAAAGTTTACGTAAGATTCAATGTTAAAAATTAAAACAAAAATATAAAATAAAGTATGAGTGTATTTAGAATTTATGATGTTATTTCTAGTAATTAAACTTAAGGTTAAATTTATTAAAACAAAAAATAAATTTAAAGATAGGGGTGAATATCAATTAAGTGGGGACTAAAAATCACTTCCGACCCTTTTAATATGCCAAAAATTAGCAAATGCTACAATTATGAGACAAGTCCATAGATTATATCCAGAAGTGGACTACAATGGCCATCAAAGCTATGGAAATGGCCTTCAAAGTTTGTTTGCAGACCCAAATTTAAGAGGAAAGGAAAATTGCAAGCAATTTTGTAATATCTGGCAGTAGCTCTATGGCAACATTAGAAGAGTGAAAACCAGTATCTGAGATTAACCTGGAAATTCCAACAACATGCATGCAACTTCTGGGAAGCTAGGAGTTTTGTATGTATCAGACCAGTCTAAATCTACTTTAGTTAAAATCAATTTAAGACCTTTTAATTATCAAATTATTAAAACTACATTTTCAAAGTAATTAAGCCTTAATTAAGACCATCTTATGGACACTATATATGTTTAAACAAATTTCATGAATCATTCCAAGAAATTTCCTTGCAACCTTCTAAGTAATTTCAGCAAGAAATTTTCTTTTAAATATTTTGGTAAAATAAATAACATTAATATTTATTAATCTAAAATTTGGTGTATTGAAAATTTGTTATGTTTGTGAATTATAATGAATTGAATTAAATTTTTAAAATGGAATCCTTATGTTTGTGAATATCCTTATTAATTTTTTAGGATTTGTTTAATAAATATGCAACCGGGATTTGCACTCAGTGGAGCTGTACATTTGTGGAATTTAAAAGGCTGGGCCTCAGAGTGAAGCGTGATATGTTGGTCTTTATGCTTATCCGTTTGGAATTAAGTTACTCTTGGTCATTGTCTTTAAGCTAAATTTCAAATTTCACCCTCTCTCTCTTGCTTTTTTAATTTAACGACTCCAATTTTTAATTAATTAATTAAATTATTGTAAATATTTTTAAATAGGAAGTTGATAGGAAATTTTCGTTAAAAGAATAAAACAAGTTTTAAAATACTAATAGAAGAACAATTCAATATACTTGACGAAGACTTACAAATTAGGGGTCCACTTTCAATGAAGACAACGTCGCTCACACTTAATTAATTTTTCAAGAAATATTTGATCTACCTAATACTTTATATTACTTCAATTAATTAAGTTCATGTCACCTCTCATCTTCTTTATCAATCTCTTTCCCATTAACTTTCTACGATAATATACTTAATTGTAGGGGAATAATACTTTGGGTACTAATGGATGAGTACTAATATGTGTAGTAACTAAAGCATAGTACCCGTACTATACGCATAGTATGGGTACTATGCTTTAGTTAGTACACATATTAGTATTCATCCATTAGTACCCATAGCATCACTCATTGTAGGGCGGTGGAATTCCATATGGACTATCTTCTAGCAAGAATATTAAATATGTGCATTATTGTTGGTTGGTGCGTTATTTAGAAAGTAAGATA